TTCCCTACATATATTTTAGATCGTTTGCCTCTGTTACAAAGCACCTCAACCATTTGTAAGAATTGTAAATATAAGCTTAAGTGGAAAGGGAGATGTTAGAAAACTGTTAAGGCTTTGAAAAGTTTGGGTCATATGTATTTCACATGGGGCTACAGATTCAAATCATGGTTTATTTTGTTGTAATATAAGCATATTCACCATTCATGTGATCTTCATCAAGTATGTCCCCCACTCATGCAACCTACAACTGGAAAAAAAATGTGAAACGAATAGCTTTGCCCTTCATTCATAATCTTCACAGTTATTTAGTGTCTTTCCAAATTAAAGATTTAAACAGCAAATGGTAGTTTCCTACATGGGCAAATAAAGACTAGTATTACATTGGGGAAAAGGTTTTAAAGTAATAATATATCATAAGAGGAACATTTAAGTGTGAGAAACATATCCCAAAGCATAAAATTGTGTCCAGAGCAATAGCATAAAAATGTAATAAAAGCTTTTAATTGCAGAAAAATATGTTACCTAATCATCTGAAAACATGTCAGAAACTTAAAACGGTGAATTTGAATCTAGCATTAATTTCAATTTAACTCTAAACTGTAAATGCAATGTTATAACAACTGGAGGTTAATAGTCAGTCATTTGTTTTATCAATAGAGTGTCAAACAATTTATTAGCTTACCTTTTCTGCCACATTTTCATGGAATGTTCCCAAATTCAGTTTCATTTTGTTTGTTTTGGGAGGGATACTTCAAAACACAGACTTTTTTGAATTTATCTGTTTCACTAAAGAAATACATAAACCATTATTCTAAAGTTTAAAGTTTAGTAAGGAATAACTAGAACACAACATGAATCTTAGAAGAAATATGATTAACAAATAAGTTGTCTGATTATATATTACAAAATATTTCATTCACTTGGCCCTAAATGATACATCTAAAGTATGTAAGAAAATAGATTCTATTAGAGTTTGTGAGTTGCTTGTAGTCATTTGTTGTTTATATTACAGAATGAGTTGTTTATATCAGAAAATGATCAGTATCAACTGCTGTTAAAACATTAAATCATATTATTACTAATAATGATGATAATTACTCATAAGTCTGTAGCATTTATAATTTGCAGAGCACTTTAACATTGTGGGTAACAGAACCCAGTGTGTATAAGAGGAAGACTATGAGTTTTCAACAAGTTACTTAATTTTCTTACTTATAAAATTGGAATCTAAAAGAGTAACCTTGTTAGGTTCTGAAAAATAAATGAAATTTTGTGTGTAAAATACATTGGCTGGTGTATGGCATTCAGTAAGTGCTCAATGAATGTTACCATGGTGATGAAGTTGCTGCTGAAGTTGACAGTGGTGGTGTCAGTGATGATGATGGTATCATTTGAGCCTTTGAATCTTTGCATACTGGTCTCAACTTTTGTTATAAATAGTTCTGAAAAACTTTAACACTTTCCCATCCTTTCTCTACCAACTAAGGGAAAGATACCTGAACTAAGTTATTATCTGGCATTAAAGGAGTCTTTTGGGCCTTCCATGTGACAAATTTGTTAATCTGTGTCCCTAAATTGACATTCTTTGTCCATCACATCCCAAACCTCCACTTCTTGGCATCTATTCCTGGTGTGGTCATTCTCACCAATCTTACCTACTCCTAGTTCAGTATCATTGAGATAATTTCTGAACTAGCAGGTTGAATAGTTGCTTGTTCCATGATCAGTATTTTAGGCCATGTGAATATACATATATATGAATATACATGGGGAGTTAATGGAAATAGAGAAGAAGATTTTAAAACTATATATATATATATATTTTTTTTCTTTTAAGGAATCTCTTGGTTCTGCCCCATTGTTTTTAAAGATCACCAGCACATATCCACTTAAGTTCCTTTATCAATCATGTCCATTTTCATACTAAAAGGAATTTGCTCCAGGAGTACTAAGACATGAAACAGTACATGGGGATTTTCTTCTCTAGTATACTTTCATTCAGAATGTTCTGCTCATCAAACTCATATTAGATTTTCACTTCAGCTCATTATTTCCATTACTTGGCCATTAACTTTTGTTAAAATATAATCACCCAGAGGCACTCCAGCAGTGCACAAATATTAAGCTTGAATTACTCCTTGTTCATTTCCTGTACTTTTTGTGGACAAAGACAATTTTGGCTGAAATGAAGAATACATAGTTTTTGGTAAAAGCATGATTTGTTTCCTTTCCATCTGCACGTATATAAACTGTTATTGCAATGTATAGACTATGCCATATGTGTTTTAAAAATTATTCACTATTATTGGAATAAGTACCAATTTTCATTTCTAGACGGGGGTGGTGTGTACCAGTTACAGAGATAATAGACTATAATTCAGATGGGTGCTAAAGAAACCCTGCATCCCAAAATATAAAAAGTATCCTATGAAGGGGCAGTATTATAGCATAATTTTTCTTTTATGGGTCTATAATCTAAGGAAAGACTTGTCCAAAATCCCTTGTAATAATCCCCTCCTCACCAAAGGAGCTTCAGAACGGCGAAGTTTCCAACTTACTCATTTAACACTCACAGAAAATCGCACTTGGAATGCCCATTAGTTGACTTATAGTGGG